ATGTTTTTCTAAGCCCACCTGAGGGTGGCAAATCCACATTTTAGCTACTTGCGGGTAGCACCATCAAACCACTTTCAAATAAACAAGCATGAAATGTTTTGTTCCAATTCGGACGACCCGGTCTATACTTGTATGCTGTGTGCATCACATAGTAACCTAGGCTAATAACCGGAATAAGAATTCACAATGTTTTCAAAAATTGATATCGTGGTTAGTAGAGGCCGGTCTATGACCGGGCGAGCGGGGGTGCTCACGAAGTGACCTTCCCCAATCGTATCCAAGTTCCCGAGCCGAGGCAACTTTGGTGATGACGGACGCGTGGCCTTTTGGCACCGAGTCAGGGTTTCCTAAATTTCCCAAAATAAAATATTTAGGTGGCGACTCTGTATCTGGCAAAGCAGTCCATGTTTGGCACTTCTTTCAAAAATCAGTTTTCTCAAAACGATTTGCCGGATTTGGACTCTTTGGTTCAGACTTAGAACCGTGACTAACGAAAGTCGAGTCCGAGCTGTGGCGAGGTCCCCCGTGGGCTTGTTACACCCGGTCAACCTCGCAATCACACAATATAAGCGTGGTCTCCCAGTCGGCCATAGATTGCAGGACTCGCTGACTATGCACCAACCGACCTCTATGGGCCAGCTCATGCAGCGCATCAATGAGCACATCCGAGTAGAGGATGACGCGTCAGCTTCTACCGTGAAGGCAACTCCAGTAGCAACAGACAAGAAGACAGCAGGCAAAGTGCACGCAGTTGGGCAAGAGTCCAGCCGCTCAAGTGACCGAGCAGAGGAATCAGACCGTGGCTCGAATCGCAAAAATCAGGGTAGAGGACGTCGGAATGACCGGGATGACTACCCCCGAGATGACGTAGCGGACGCAAACAGAAGGTTAAAGGCAAGGACTGGCATAACCACGGTCTTCAAGATTCCAATCTATCGCATACTTAGTGAAATCCGAGACGAGGAGTATGTCCGGTTTCCTGCTAAGTTGGGCGATGGACAAAAGGGCTACAATCCGCGGTATCGTTGTACGTTTCATCGGGAGCAAGGCCACCAGACTGAGGATTGTTTGCCTTTAAGGCAACACTTAGAAGAGCTGGTCGCGGCCGGACACCTAGACCTTTACATTGATGGCGGCGTGAAGCCGAATCAGGCTCCGGTCGATCCCAGGGGATAGGATGACCGAGACACACCACCACAGGGAGTTATTAATGTCATCCACGGCATCGTGGAACCGGAGCGTGTTTGCGAACTCCAGGGCATGATAAAAAAGGCAGAACATATGAGGGAAGTTTTGTTGGTACAGCCTGCCATCAAAAGGGGGAAGACTGAAGAAAAAGATGTGATTAGTTTCACCTCAAAGGATCTAGAGCGTATCCAGACGCCGCACAACGATGCCCTAGTAGTAACACTACGCGTCAAGGAATTTGATGTTAAACGGATCTTGATCGATCAGGGAAGCTCGGTCGAGATCATGTATTATGACGCGTTCAAGCAGCTCAAACTCCGGGAAACAGACTTGGCTCCAGCAACTTCGCCACTGGTTGGTTTCAACTCGCAGCCGGAGTGGCCCTTGGGAAAGATTATCCTGCCGGTCAAAGCGGGATCCGTGGTCAAGCAAGTGGAGTTTTGGGTGCTACAAGTGCCTTCGACGTACAACCTTATCCTTGGAAGGGGATGGCTTCACGCTATGTAAGCTGTAGCGTCGACCTACCACCAAGTGATGAGATTCCCCTCGGCTATGGGGGCAATCGAGGAGATTTGGGGCGATCAGGTCATGTCCAAGCAGTGCTTCGTGGCGGTCAACGGGAGCCGGGCTGCCAAAGGATTCGTTCAAATGATTGAGGGACCGGAGGACCAGGGTGTCTTGGATGATGTGGGCACTAAGGCCGAAGACAACGCTGCTGAGGAATTGGTTGAGGTGCGAATTGATATAGAACAACCAGACAAGTTCTTCTTGCTCGGCTCAAGTCTCACGGCCATAGAGAGGACCGAGATGGTTGAGTTTTTGATGGCCAACATCGAAGTCTTCGCGTGGTCGCCTTACGACATGCCTGACCTCGATCCAAGTTTTATCTGCCATCACCTCAATGTCTTCCCTGGAGCAAAGCCAGTCATCCAGCGAACAAGGAGATCGGCACTGCATCACGCCGAGGTAGTTGCAGAGGAGGTGAAGAACCTGCTTGAGGCACGAGCAATTCAGGAAGTGCACTACCCTCGGTGGATTTCCAACACAGTAGTGGTGCCCAAGAAGAATGGAAAGTGGCGAGTTTGTGCCGACTATAAGACAGTCAACCGAGCTTGTCCCAAAGATAGTTTCCCTTTACCGCGAATTGACCAGCTTGTGGACTTAACTGCTGGACATAATAGGCTCAGTTTCTTGGATGCCTACCGCGGCTACCATCAGATCTCCATGCATGGGCCCGACCGAGAGATCACCTCTTTCACGACTCCAAGGGGACTCTTCTGCTACCGAGTCATGCCTTTTGGTTTGAAGAACGCCGGGGCAACCTTTCAGAGGATGGTGACCAAAATGTTTGCTCCTTTGCTTGGCCGGACAATGGAGGCTTACATCGATGATATGGTGGTGAAGAGCCGACATGAGGCAAACCATTTGTCCGACTTAGCCGAGATGTTTGTCATTCTAAAGAAGCACAGGCTGCGCTTGAATGCGTCAAAGTGTGTCTTTGGCGTGGGATCCGGAAAATTTTTGGGGTTCTTAGTCACGAACCGAGGCATCGAAGCAGACCCTACTCAGATCAGAGCCGTGCAAGAGTTGAAGCAGCCCAGCTCGGCAAAGGACGTACAACATCTGGCCGGGATGGCCGCCGCGCTTAATCGGTTTATAAGCCGGTCATCAGATCGCTGCCGCCCTTTCTTTGAAGCATTGAAGTCAAAGTTCTCATGGGACGAAGAGTGTGACCGAGCTTTGGCTGAGCTCAATGAATATCTGTCTTCTCCGCCACTGTTGGTTACACCAAAGCCGGGTGAGGAACTCTACCTTTACCTTGCCGTCTCCCAGCACGCAGTCAGTGCGGTGCTAGTCCGCGCTGAAGGAATCAAGCACCTCCCAATTTTTTATGTCAGCAAGACCTTGCTGCCGGCTGAGACGAGATATTTGTCGCTGGAAAAGCTTGCTTTGGCATTGATGATGGCTTCAAGGAAGTTGGCGCATTATTTTCACGCCCATACCATCGTCGTACTGACCAAGTTTCCCCTCAAAGCCTTGTTTGAACGGGCGGACTTTTCGGGCCGAATTCTTAAGTGGGCGGTCGAGTTGGGACAGTTTGATGTGAAGTTCCAGCCGCGCACTGCTATCAAAGCCCAGACTTTGGCAGACTTCGTCGCCGAGTTCTCACCTGGCACTCATCCGGTATGCCCGGTCGATATTACCGTGGCAGATGATGAGATGCACGCAAGACCATCCGAGATACAACCAGTTGGTGGAGGTAGCGACGCGGAGTTTGCGCGCACCATTGAAGCCCCCTCAGTTTGCACGGTTTTACTACCCGGTGATGCGATGACGGAGTTGAGTATCACCGACCCATCTGCTCTGTCCGGTCCTGCATCACCAAGGGGGGAAGAAATGGAACCACACAGCTCAGAACCTGCGGTCGGCATAGCACCGTAACCTGATGATTCGCCTACGGACTTGAGCATTACAGACCGACTTGCTGAGTCCGGTGCCGAATCACCAAGGGGAGCTGGAGTGGAACCAATCAACACGGAACTTGAATCCAGACAGCCAAGAAACTGTGATCCTATTGCCCTTCGCAACTCTCAAGACCCATCAGACTGCTGGAAGCTTTTTGTGGGGGAAATGTGGAAGCTTTTTGTTGATGGAGCGTCCAACCGTCGTGGTGCTGGCCTAGGTATCGTTCTTATCTCCCCGGATGGCCTAACCATTGAACATTCTATCACGCTTGGCTTCCCCGCATCTAATAACGAGGCTGAGTACGAGGCCCTTCTCGCTGGGCTCAAGAGCGCTATTCAAATGAAGGCTGCCGAGCTACTGGTGTACAGTGATTCCCAGCTTGTGGTTAACCAAGTCTCTGGGATTTACGAAGCAAAGGACGACAGGATGGCGAAGTACCAAGCTCTGGTCAGGGAACACATCAAGCAGTTTCAGGCAATCAGAGTCTAACAGATTGGCCGTGAAGAAAACAGCCGAGCTGATGAGCTGGCCGGCCTCGCTTCCATGGTAGATTGTACGTCTCCAAACCCCTGTTAATTGACTTTCTTGTACGGCCAAGCATTGAAGACGCTGGGCAGACGGATGTACTCTGCGCCGCGCTAGGCCCTTCCTAGATGGACCCCTTGATCTTATTCCTCAGAGACCGGACTCTACCAACTGAAAAGAAAGAAGCACACAAAGTCCGGGTGAAGTCAGAGCGGTTTTGGCTCTCTCCATCTGGTGCGTTGTATAAAAAGTCCTTCACCGGTCCTTATCTAAAGTGCGTGCACCCGAATAGTGTGGAGGCCTTCTTGTACGAAATTCACAAAGGAATTTGTGGCAGCCACAAAGGGGGCAGGTCCTTGGCCTACCGAGCTATTTCACAGGGATACTGGTGGCCGTGCATGCAGGCCGACGCACAAAAGTAC